CCTCGTCCCACGAGGAATAACGGGGCTGCCGACAAAGGGCTTTGATGTCGGTGTGGGAGCATCCAGACTAGCGCGCTGAGCGGACAAACAGCTGATCAGCTGTTTGTTGGCTCAGCGTGGCAGCCATGTAAATGTAAACGAAGCCGCGATCACTTAAATCGCGGCTTCATTTGCCTTTGCCTATGTGTCTAATCTACATGCCTCTGACGACAGAGGCATGTAGTCTAGACACAGCCTGTGTGTGAAGAATCAATCTTAATAAAGCATGAAAGACATGAATTCAAAAGACTCTGCAAATGCCCATGCTGTGGTAGTGGGGGTTTGTCATCAGCACAAAAGGAAGAAGGGGAAGCCCTGGCTGCCAAGAGCAAGCGATAAGGAGGACTTCTTCAGTCCGCAAGCGAAAGCCCTGTTTGTTCATTCCCCTGCCATTCTGTCACAACCTTCCGGCAGTTACTTCTTGTGGGGGCTTAGAGAGTGGAAGGAGGCAAATCAGAAGCACAGTCCTTCCATGCTTTTTCACTCCATCAGGAAAAGCCCCCTACCCTGGAAATTCAGGCCCAACCAGTATCCACGTAGCCAGCGCCCGTATCTTTATTTAGGGCTGCTAATGGACAAAGAAAGCTGCCTGCCTAGGCACAGCTTTGGGAGGCACTGGAATACAATATCTCGCTTCCCGAGAGAGCCATGCTACAAAATTTCATTTCGGTTCATGCAAAATCTAGAGTCACAGCTTGGAAGCCATTTAGCAACGCATTTGCAGTTCCCATGCCAAGACCAGTGAAACCATAAATGGTGTTGAGCAAAAACAGTTGCTCTGGGTCCAGATCATTTTCATCTTTTTTTTTTTTTAATTGGAGCCAATCATCTGGATCTGGGCAACTCTGGGCGTGATCCTAAGGACTGGGAACAACGTCTCGCCTTCTCATCTGCAGGAGAAACAGGGGAGTGCCAAGTGGAAGAAACAACGTGGGATTAAACAGGCTGCACACCACAGTCGCTAATGCAGACACACATTCTTTACTCTCCCACTAACACGGCCCCTGCTGTGAGCTCTTTCGGGGACCTGATGACAAAGAATCAGATGCCAAAAAAAACCCTGCAGGGCTAAATGCTGCTGTGAACTGAAATGCAGCTCTTCACCAAGTGGGACGTGCAGCACCCTCTCCCTGACCTAGTAGCTGATCTAAGAGTGTGATACTGTTTGGAGTCTTGCCAGGGCTAGAGTGCTACCTCAGTGCTGCGCCAGTTCTGTGGGCATGGGGAAGTGGGCACAGGTCTACAGTATTCATGCCATTAATACAACATTTTATTAAAGATCACCTGGCATCAGAGTTACTAAAAAGGGTTTATGCTGCTGTCCTGCCTGCCGGGTTCTACGGACAAAAGCATAATTGCTCCGTTAAAGGGCAACTGCTTCAAGAGCTTCCCCTCTCTGCTCTAAAACAAAGTTGTGCATAGCATAGAAACAAAATTTCACCCCCTTTCTGGAGTCAGGCTTAATCAAAGATTATAAACTTCCCTAGGGCTTGCTTGCTCCCAGGGCTCCTCCCTCTGTGCTGCTCAGCCCATGTCCTCGATCAGTGTTTCTTAACCCTTTTTTATAAAGTGCCTCTTTAAAAAAAAAATTAAGTACCCCCAGTACCTACAGTTTTCAGACACACACAATTTTTTTCTACCGTTGCAACACATTTGTCTAAACAACTTAATCGTAGCCGGGCGGGTGATGAAATGTTGGGGTGTAAAAAGTACAAAAATAATAAAGCGCTGTAAAACTTAAAACAAAAATTCAGTTTCCTTCAAATTTCAGTTGTGTTGACGTGCCCCCTCAGACTTCTCTCGAGTACCCCTGAGGGTACTCATACCACTGGTTGAGAAACATTGCTCTAGATCCTCTTTCCTAGAGAGTCACTCCTGCCTACCCTATATCTAGCAGGTTAATGAGTCACACACACCCTCCATGAGAGAGCAGGACCCACTTAACATTTCCAGCAGGATAAAC